ACCCTAACCCTACCCTAACCCTAACCCTAACCCTAACCCTAACCCTAACCCTAACCCTAACCCTAACCCTAACCCTAACCCTAACCCTAACCCTAACCCTGACCCTAACCCTAACCCTAACCCTAATTGATTTATGTTCTCTTTTTGTCTCCCCTTCTTATCTATATCCTCTTATTCCCCTTGTCGTATGCAACAGAGTTGTCGTAGGCAACAGAGTTGTCGTAGGCAACAGAGTTGTCGTAGGCAACAGAGTTGTCGTAGGCAACAGAGTTGTCGTAGGCAACAGAGTTGTCGTAGGCAACATAGTTGTCGTAGGCAACAGGGTTGTCGTAGGTAACAGCGTTGTCTGGGTAATTAATTGTGTGGTCGTTGATATTCATAGTGGTCTTTAATAATCATAGTTATCATTAATAGTCATGGTGATCATTAATAGTCATGGTGTTCATTAATAGTCATGGTGTTCATTATTAGTCATTGTGATAACTGTTCTTCTTGGTGTTGTATTTGTCGTAGTTATTCTTTTGTTGTTATAGGGATCTAGTTGACATGGTTATGTATTCCTCATAGTTAACTAGTTGACATAGTTTTGTGGTTGTTATAGATATCTGGTATTCATGGTTATCTTTGTATTCATAGTGATTTGTGTTGTCATATTGGTATGATTAGTTATAGTTGTCTATTTGTGTTATGTATCGAGTTGTTATAGTTATCTCGCAGGCATAGTCATCTGGTACTCATAGCTATCTGTATTGTCATGGTGATATGATTACTCATAGTTATCTATTTGTGATATGTATCAAGTTGTTATAGTTATCTATTTGTTATAGTTATTTAGTAGGAATAGTTATCTGGTAGTCATAGATCTTTCGTAGTTATAGTTTTCTGGTAGTCATAGTTTTCTGGTAGTCATAGTTTTTTTTTTGTTGTTGTCATAGATATGGAGTTGTCATAGATCTCCTGTTGTCCTAGCTTACTTGTTGCCATAGGTATCTTTTTGTCATAGATATGCTGTTTTCTTAGTTATATTGTTGTTATAGATATCTTGTTTTCCTACTGCCTTGGTTGCTTTGTTACGTGTTGTCATAGAAACCTTGGAATCCTTGTAATTTTGTTGTCTTAGATATCTGGTTGTCTTAATCGCATTCCTTTCGTCAATACTTGTTACCTTTGATATCATGTTGTATTAACTATCTTGTTGCTCTACGGACTTGGTTGTCTTGCATACTTGGTTGTCTTGCATACTTGGTTGTCTTACTTACCTGGTTGTCTTCTTCACCTTGTTGTCGTAGATATGTCGGTGTCTTGGTCATATTGCTGTCGTAGTCATATAGTTGTCTTCGTTACTTGCTGACTTGGACACCCTGTTGTTTTAGTTATCTTGTATCTTAGATATATTATCCGCTGAGATACGTCGTTGCCTTGGACATCTGGCTGTCTAATTTATCTGGTTGTCTTATGTTTCTCGTTGTCGTGGATATCATGTTGTCTGAGCAATTTCGTTGCCTTAGACACATTATTGCCTTGGATATTTCGTTACCTTAGTAACATTGACGTCTTGGATATGTTGTTATCACGTATGTCTTGCTGTCATAGATATCATATTATCTTCGTCAGATTGTTGTCTAAGATATCTGGTCGCCTTAGATATCTTGTTGTCTTAGTTACTTGGTAAATTGAATTGTCTGTCGTCTTGGTAATTACCTTTTTCCTGAATACTAGGTTCTCTTGTCACCTTAATCGACCTGCATACGTTATTGTATTTGCTTCTTGACGCTTTTAGATTTTATGTCGCTCTCAATATTCTGCTGGTATTTTATTTTTTGGTCCTTGTCCATTTTCATTCCAAGTAACGTATATGGGTTTCTCTTTAAAATCCATAACTATGTATGATATGTAGCATCACAGTTCTCCTTAATTGTGACCTGTACATACTTTCAGGCTTGATAAAATTTTATGACTTCATCATTTTTGTATGAATTATTTGATAACAAGACCTATCAGGCCTTTTGTTTACATATTGCAGACAATTCTGAATATATTTGCACTGCTCCCATGACGCTATAAATTCATTCAGACTTTTAATATTTTTTTTGTATATATTTACGTAAAACATTTATTTTGTTTGCCTTTCTTTCTGCTAGTGCGCCAGGTTTAGACGGTTGGTTCTTAACAGTTATGAAGATTAATAGCATGTCATGGGAGAGCGATTTATCAAGGTCCCATCATATAAACGTCACTAAGAAACTATTATTTTATAATATTATCTTTTTTTTCTTGATTTTAATAAAGTATTTAGTCCCACAATGCGTCAATTGGTGTTTTTCTTACATGGCGTGTGTTGATATACTCTCTATCTTAATCTATATTCAATCGGCTTCTCCTTCATTTCCGGATGTGGTCGTAACAAACTTATTTTAGACCATTTTCGTCTCTTTAATCAATATGTCTATTCTTTGAGAATATTGATGGAATAACAATAAATCCCACACAAAAAGACGCTTGGAAATACCAGATCTTCTTCAGCATGTCTCATTTCATTTATACGGCCGATAAAAACCTTATCTCGTTCTCTGTAATTACTCCATATAGACTTTATGACGATTGTATGATGATTGTAAACTCGTTGTACTTGGTGGAATACTTCTCTGGCCTACGCTGAAATTATTTCAAAAACCGTTGATGAACAAGATCCTTTGATAGAATATGTATCTTCCACCAATTCCTATATTGGCTTCGTACGTTTGGTACTTTGTTTAATGTTGTTTAATCCTTACTATATTTTCTAGGACGTCGCCCTCTTATGTGCTAGATCGATTAAACAGACATTTAATTATGTGGTCACATATCGTTTGTTATATTTTACACAACAATCTACGACCTTATAGTTCCTACTTTATTATTTTGTCCTTCACTTGATCATTTTTGGTGATGGACTTTTTTGTAGTTGCTTAAACAGCTTGGGGTGACTTTTTTCAGCGTAGTTACATTATTACAATGTTTTTATAAGCATTTTAAGTACTTTTCAACTTCTAAGAAAGACTTTTCTGTCTTTCCATAAAATAGTTTCCTTCTGGCAATCTCTTTCTGATTGATACCACACTTTAGTTTCCTGTTTTCAAACTCTTACGAGAAGTGCATAACATGTTGTTTTAATTACTTCTGTTTTTGTGGTCATTTAAATGTGTCTTAAAAACAATATCTTGTGATATTTTCATTTTTTACTTATTCAAGGACACATTTAGTTCAATACGGATTCATTTCATTACCTACTGATTTTGCTCGCGGTGTACGTAGTTTTTAACGTAATCTGAAAGTATTTCAATCTGCCTTCTATTCTGGTTTTTGTGCAAAGGGTCATTACTTACCTATTGTTACCTATTGTTTGGTTTTTTTTTTGACATGTCGGTACTTTCTTCTCAGTCATTCATCAATTTTTCTTTTACTTGGCACAAACACGGGCGAGACACTGCAAAAAATTTTATATCACTAGCAACCTACTAAGAAGTTTTAAATAAACTGTCAGAAATTTTTGGTTTCCTGTCCATCGTTACTGCAACTATTGTATCAAAACATGATCCGAAGATCTTTTTGTTTGGTTAAAATATTTTCGGAAATGGTTACAAAGAGTCCTGTTATTATTCCTGCTTTAGAAGTTATTACCTTCTTACGCGCGGTCATTCTATAAATACACTCTAAGATAATGTTTGGCGTATAAATAATCGCCTTGTTCTTTTGATGATTTCTTATTAGAGCTTATATTGTACGTCACTACAATATACTTATGACCGAATTCGTAACAAATCGCTACAATTTAGCCATTTATTACCACTAGTTGACATATAAACAAACTATCGTCCTTTCTACTCTTTTTTTAATAGATTTTACGCTCAAAGATAATTATTCTAGACCTAAAAAATATTTTCCCAAGTCTTTGAAATTTTTTTCAATTTCTGAGAAATATTTTTCTGTTTTTGTTTATGTGTCCTTTTTTATTTATTTTATAGCGTATTTCGTTGATTACTGTGTCAGTTCATGTTCTGCCTATCTGGTATGTATTTGACCGAGTCTTTGGAAAAGGACAGAAGTATTTAAATCTGCCAAAATTTGCTGCTTTGTTAAAAAATTCCAGCAACTACTGACTATCTGTGTTTTTAGTAAATTTATTGCTCACTTTGTGTCATTGCTGAGTCATTTCCATATTTTAATTAAAGCTGCCCTACCAAGTACTACCACCGTCACAGATATTCCCCTATCACTTGATGTCATTAATCAAATATTTGTACGCGATTTTTAATTATTAATATAACAATTTTAGACTTACTTCATAAACAATAACTGTTTGGTGTTCATATTTTGTTTCAACACGAGCTAGTCGATTATAAAACTGTTACACGTACTACTTGTTTAAGCATATGGTATAATTAATAGGTATTCTGGATCATCGACATTTTTGCTAATTTCTGTGGTTTTCTGATCAATAATTGTTTTCTGTTCGTAATGTTTGGTAGATAGATACTCTGTATAAAGCTAGGACTATTATAGAAAGGCTTATTATTGTGTCCGTCAAACGTTTAGCGTCGTTGACCCAAGTATTTTGGGGCTTCTATGTCTGACTGTGTCGTGTCTTACCTCCTTTATGGTAGAGACTTTTTTAACAATTTAATTAGACAGCTCAGGCTACAGGCATTTTATTAAAACTATTCCTACCTCTTTAAAAATGTTTTTCGACTTCTGAAAAATATTTTTTCCCTTTAAGTAAATTATATTTTTATGAACGTATCCTTTGGCTGGTGACGATTAGTTGGTGTTTTGTTCTCATACTTGCTCCATGAACCTACAATTTTTTGCTAAATCTGTCTAAGTTGCGTCAGTCCATTAGAAGTGTCGGGGAAATTATTATTTGGTTATATTGTCGGGTTTTTTATGTATTTAAAAAAATTGTCAAGGTAAATACGGTGTCAATTCCGTTGCTGTTTACCCCATATGCAACGATGAGATTTCCTTTATCATGTTAAAACTATTCCCATTATTTATCAGTACTGGTTGTTGGCATAAAATTACCTACCATACCGATTGGTGACACTTTTAATAACTTCCTCCATACTCGCTTGTATTTAAGCGCGTCTTCCCATTTTCCATCCAAAAAAATATGGAAGTACCAATTATAATATATTTTATACACTGCATCACTTGATTCTTGGTAATTTATTCCATAAACTTATTAGTTATTTCGTCAAAACTGATTATATCATTTTTGTACGTTTTTCGGCTATTTTCGGGTAAAAATGTCAAATTTCATTCGGGTAATAACTCTGTTTGTGGAAGCAAGTATTCTTCTGTCTGTTCTGTCCGCCTTTTCGCTCTCGACATTCGTCGATTGTATATTAATGAGATATCAAAACAAGCGAACTATTTTACGAAATTTGATAAATATCCCCAAAATAGTGTCATCCACTCGGTATCAAGCAGATGATTCGCTCGTAATAGTGAAAGATACAATCTCATCCTTCACCCCAATGTTTACCATGCGGATAATTTAACGCTCATCAACTAGAAGTTGTTTATTATATTTCCTATAATCTTATATAGAAAAAACCGTCGATGCTCTCAAAGATTAGTGTCGATTATCTTTCGAACCGGATTCTTACATGTTGGTAACCGTATATCTAAAAGATGAGTCTAACATTATACTCTATTCATCTGACGTCAGACTCATAAAAATTATAAAACCGAATAAACAAGTTTGCCCTAGAAATGTAACGTTAGAAAGCCTCGAAGGCATTCATTATAACTTTATGTAATTCGGACTTTAATTCAGGGTGCTATGTATGTCAAGGCTTGGCCTGCAGAGGGAAAAATAGTGTAGTGCGCGTAATGTAGGGTACTAAAAGATAAATAAGTCAATGGGATCATCGTTCTTTGGAACAAGAATAGAACCATTAAAAAGAGCTCGTTGTTTTAAGTAGAGTATCGTTCTTGCATGTATCGTTCCCACATTTGTCTGGTGTTGCTATACATGAAAGAAGAATCTCGTACTGGTTCCTTCTCATAGGTCCTGGCACTCTCATGGACCGACGCACCGCCTTAGTCTTTCACACTACATTACTACCTTTATCTTGTCAATAACCTTGCAAAAAGCCGTAGCTCTTGTTAATGATAAGAAAGGAAGAAAAAAAAAGTCTTTCGTGTTGATATTTTATTGTGTCACAATTAGGATCAATGAAACACTACGACCTTGAATTAAAGCCAAGTAGCAAAAATGAACTTCTTTATTATTTTGAATATGATTGCAATGAATTTAGTCGCTGTCTTTATAACATACGTAATTTAATTCTCCAGTTTTGTCTAAGAAAGAGGAGTGAAGCTGAAGATCTTGTAATTCCTTTGTTAAGGCTTTATTCTGGTTAATCACACTAATAAATTTTTGGAATTTTTCCCAGCTCCATCGCTCAAAGGCTGCAACGGAGTAAGGAATTACAATGGCAAGAGCGCCGTACTTAATGTCCTTGAGTAAGACATTGAGTCTTTTACCGGTAGCTTTTAAAAGTCTGGTCTGGTATTTACTGTATTGACCGTCTATTGAAAGAAAGTTAAATCTTTAAAGTATGCAGTAGGCCATGTATGTTTTACCTTTGATTGCTTGCATGTGCTTCTTATGTAATCCTTTGCCTTGTAATTTGGATTCTTCCAAGAAACAGAAAAAGTGATAGCATCCGACGTATTGGATGCACTTTCCCAAGACATCGTAAGTGTGACCAGCATTGAAATGAAACAAGATATCTTTCAGAAAGTTATCAATGTCTTCTTGCTCGGTAGTGGCAGTCATAGTGGGCATTTTTAAGACTCTGATTGCCTTGAGTCGCAGTGGAGCGCTTAGAATCGACATGTTTTGTCGAATTCCGACAGTTGGTGTGATGATAGCCTCCGCCTCCTTGGAAGAGGTGGTAGGAACCTCTACTGGTTCGACCACACTGGTTGTATTGGATTGTTCAGTGTCATTTTGACACGAGGCCTCGTCATCAATGTATGCGTTTGAGGCATACGATTTGCTTTTCTTGCCAGAAGAGCTAACCTCCTGGTTTTCTTTTGCCATTCTTTTTCGTGGCACAGCCATTGGTCTCTCCTCAATTGGCGAGGCCGTAGATTGTTCTGATTATGTACATCTTAATATATATACATTTTTAAAATAAAAAAAGAGCTCACCTTCTTCGGATGGCAATTGAATGTTTGACATTCTCAAACATTGACTAATTAAATGGCCATGGTTCTCTGGATCTAACAAAAATAATTGGTTATCTGTTACAAGATGATTGGTTTACCTTGTACTTACATTCGCTTTTGATACTAACATACACGTTATTTAATTCGGTTATTTATGATCTTTTTGTGTTTGTTGTCGAACAATAAAGTGAGTGAGAGATAAAAAAATTTGACGTCCATCACCACCTTTCAATATGCATTTTGGATTCAATCGCGTACCTGTCGGAAAGCGAATTTTTGTATGTAGGTGCAAAATTCGAATTATTCTATTTTTCTTTTTCGCGTTCTTCTTTTAATAGTAGCCGAGAGCTATACTAAATACTGTCGCTACTTTACTATCGGAAATAGCTGTTTTATGTCTATTCCACGATCATTGTATACGCACAAAATGGTAAGAAAAAAACCGATAAGCATTCATTGCTTTACGTTTCAAAAGACGGGTAAGATGTCTAAATTAGAAGCATTTCGTTGTCATCTTAAAGCCTTATATTGGATCTATCATGCTACGTAAACACGTGACACACTATTATAAATAGCTTCACTTTATGTTAATAAATCACCAGCCATTTTTATCTCTTATAAAATAATAACTACACTCCGCTAGGTTTTACAGATCGAAGTCGGGTGTTACAAAATTACTGTCTGCTCTTTTTGTTTCTTTCAAACGACGGGCTTTCCCTATACTCCCCCGCTTTAATATTTTAGCACTAATAATGTTTGATAGCTATCAGTAAAACGTTTTTATAACCAAATATTTAAACTATTTGTTATGATTCAAATCAATGTTACAATCGTTCGTCTGTCAGAAATCTGTAGCAACACTTTTTTTGTGGTATAAAACTTTAATTAAAAAAGAGTAAAAAGTTTATCAGGTTCAAGCTTAGGGACACGTTATATTAATTGTTTTCCATGAGAAATGATTCGTATCGCATTATTTGGTATATAAGACATGGTATCGAAATACGTAGTCAGGTTAATTATAATGCGTTCAAAATACAACATTAGAAGTAGACACCTGTAGTGATATACTTTACAAGGAGTTGCGTAACTTCAACACAGGCAATTATTATGTTGGGTAAGAGTTTACAGGAGATTCCATGGCAACCAAAATAGTAAACTTCTGTTTTTTGGACATTTCCTTGCACACGTGATTAGGCGGAATAATAATCAGGAGTATGATTATATTAAGTTCATGGCAGAGATTGCGTAAAAAAAAATTGAAAATGGGTTTATTTTTTTAGCCATAAAATTTTCAGCTCAATATACAAATAGGCCTTGGACACAATAATTGACCTTCTGCTATTGTAGTTTTTGTAAAAGCTCCATATATTTTGAAATAACGAACACTACAGCCACGTTTTAGCAATTAAACATCGACCAGTCAACCGACCGGTCAAAAAATAATTTACGAACGGTCAACCTGCCGGTCGAAAACTGAAAGACGATCGGTCAGCCCGCCGGTTGATAGTTAGAGGACTGTCATGAACCGCCTATGTTTCAGTTGCATATAATCATGCATAATGTCTCAGATCATTATTGAAACCCAACTAGCCCATTGTTCCTGTTCCACCTGTTCCACCTGATTCCCTGTTCATCTGCCTCCTGTCACACATGTCACTGTCAAACATCACTATTGTATCCTGTCTAACGCCTGTGTTCCAAATAATGTATCCCCGTTGTCCCTTGTGCTTGTAAAACCATTTAACATGCGTTCCCTTGGTAACTATGCCTTTGAACTCCCTTATAAAACATTAATAATATCAGCTCATGTTATCCTCTGTATCTATCTGCGAAATTATATGTGTTCATTCCCGCTACCCTAAAGATGTCCCAAACTAAATATGGCCGTTCCCAAGCAAACATTATTTTCAAAAACAAATCGCTCGATTTGGAAAAAGGTTCGGTCCCCCCAGTATAAGTACTAGCTTATAATTTTAGTATACGCAGGATAGCAATGTGGCCCATATACAACCAGTAAATAAGACATGCTAGTTTAGTAATTAGAAATATTATTTTAAGTCATGTCACACATGTTTTTACTTTTTTGTAATTTATAGCCCCCACCTACGAGGGTATAAATTACTAATTTGTAAATTGCCCAACCCCCCATAAATTTTGGCTGGTAAAATGTTTTTTATAGTTTCAATTACTATTTTGAGCTAAATACTTTTGTTCCCAAAACGTAAAAAAAGTTTTGCTTGGGAATGGCCTATGACTAATAGTCAGTCTTTGTTAATCTGATCCCCCAACCTTTGTTTACCCAATCTGTCAATAAAGATAAATAACAGCATGTTTATTTCTTCTTATTTTTGTATTCAAGATCTTATCTATTTTTCCTGCTCCTCTGAATAAACCTTTTTCTACCTTCATTCCTTTTTATATATGTATTAATACTAATAGATATATAATGTCTGTTTCTTTTGTCCTCACCCTAATAATTATTCTGTTCTGCTCTTGCCCCGATCCACTCCTCAGAGGCCTACTAATTGAACAGGTTATCTTGATTTATTTTTTTTATAGCTCTGTTCAATACACCAATACTAGAACCAGACTCCAAAGCAATGACACCATTAGAGCAGCATTGGACTAAACGAAAATGTGGTATACTCAAGAATGGGTTA